ATAAGCCAGTCAGAAAAGCACAAGATTAGTCCAGTATTTCAGATAGGGGCAATTCATATTGAGTTTCATGGTGGCGGGAAAAATGCAAACAGAGTGGCGAAAAGCACTCTCACCCAGCTAATTCAGCCTTGGGTGTAAAAAACAGTTTTGTTCTCTTTATTTCATTAAGGCAGACAGTGTGTGATCAGAAATCACACAAGAACAAAAGGGCCAAAGGTGTAGCGTTTTAGAACCCTCGCCCAGAGAGAGAGAGCAGCTGCAAAACACGGCCTGCTCAAATATGGAATGTGAGATGTGGGAGGGATGGGTCCCCCTCAAAAGGACCCCCAGGAAATGCCCATTGGAAAGGCTAGCASGAGGTGGCGCACAGCTCCCAGCTGGTCCAGGTGTAAATGGAGCATCYCCTCGATGAGAACAGCATTTGCCCTGCGGAAAAAAAACTCATACAAACACAGAGACAAAAGACAAAAATTAGGAAAAATTCAGAAACACTTTTTCAGACAGACAGTTCGTGTGTGAAACTGATGATGATTCATTTACATAATTGCAGTTCATAAATAATATTACTCAAACACACATCAGTTCTCCATCTTATCCTCATCTATAAACAAATATGCCCTTGTTCTTTGAACAAAGGCCAGGGGAAGCCAGGKGCCGTAATCTTTAAATACACAGATTGCACTTCTCTCTGCTGCTTTTAGCAAAAGCTCATTCACCATTCATTTAGCAATGTAATACATTCGAATGGCCCCCAGGAACTGCCTGTGAAACAGGTTCTCTGTTTTCCCTTTTATGTATCAATTCAAGTAACTTATCAGCTTTTATGTTTAATCAAGTAATTTATCAGCCCCGCTGCACGTCCCTGTAAGACTAACAAATTTGCAGCCTCTGATTAACACATGTGGTGGGGGAAAAAAACCCAGGAAGAAMTGATGACATCATCAGCCTCACACACGTACACACATGTAYCCCCCCTCCCTCAAACACCCACGAGCTGGGCCCCCACACTCTTTAACTGTGCCTCAGTTGAGATCCAGCGAGTATGAGTGGGCCAGATCATGGGGCTGAACAGCTCCTCACTGAGCCACTCAGGCATGGTCTCGTCGTGAGATAAAAACCCTGAAATGGCTAAGGTGAAAGCTGAGCAGCAACAAAAAATGTGACGATATAAAATGTTTTGAGGGAACTGATTTACGAAATGCGTGAAACGCGACACAGCTAGGAGTGGAGGTCCACCTACTGTTCAGAGTATGTTTTAGAATGTTTTGCAACAACATAGGGGGCAAACA